TGAAAATACTCACATAGTGTTCATAGTGTTTCTCTGGTATCGTTTTGATAACAGCCGGCTGTATTTTGAGTGCAGGTTGCGTCTTTAGATATGTGTTAGGGCTGGCACTATGCGCAAGTAACGGTGAAACTGCAGGTGCATATCGATAGAGGCCAGCGCCTAATGGCCCAATGCCGCCAATTCCATGCGCATAGCCATTTAACAATTCACCTTGACCCTTTAGCAGTGGCAAACCCGCTGGCGCACCATATTTTAACGGTGACACATTTAAATTCGCACCAATGCCGTGTAGGGAGGATTGTGCCGCTCCGCCAAGTTTTAAAATCGGTGATAGGCCAGTGTGTCCCAAAGCTATCGCTCCATAATATGAATCACCGTGTCCGAGAGGAATCGATGAATATCCAGCTGTTAAATGCAAGAAGAAAATTAGTGACTTTTACTAATTGAAAATATTGTGCATACGTCTTAAAAAAACATATATATAAATACAATAAGGAAAAGCAGGTTAGTAGCAATATGGGTTAACTTGTTGCTTTGCCAAATATTTTCCACTACGAAGCATGCCTACGAAGAAGATCGCAAACCAATGTGTAGAGTCGAAGCTGACTCGACTAAGGCGACGTGAACGAAGAAGCGAAGCGAAGCGTTTATGCCACTTAAAAATAAAATGGACCCGACCCTGGATCTGAAGCAATACCGGCTGAGTTGTTCAAAGCCGGTGGTTAAGCACAATTTGGCTCTAGGATTGGAATTTCAATCCACAAGATGGACGATTCTGCTGTTGCCGTCAATTTCTAAGTGTTCTAACAGGGCAATTCTGGCTAAGATAGTTGCAAGTCTTTTGAAAGATAGTGCGAAGGGTAGTTTGAAAGATTTTGTTTATTCTGGCACGAAAGTCTTACAAAAGAAAGCTCCCTAGCAACTTTCATGGTAAAAAGCTCTTTCGGTAGATGTATATTATTTTACTGGCACGTCGAGCAGCGAATTTATCTTTTAAATATTTTTTTTTTTAAATATATTTTATTATTTTAAGGACAAACGTATTTATTTAGTTAATTTCATTTCATTGTATGAAACTTATTTTATGAATTTTTTAAAATACATTTCTTATTTTTTTTAATAACATTTTAGATAAAAAATAAAAAAAAATTGTTGAATAAAAAAATATATATTTTTTTAATTTCATTAAATTTTTAAAAACTTATTTTAATGGAGATTGCGATGGCTGAGTGAGCAAAGCACAGGCGTGCGATTCGAGATCTCCGAGGTTCGAAACGTTGACTCGCGAAACTGTAATATTTAATTGCATTTTTAAAATTTAATTTTCTCTTAATTTTTATATGTTATTGTTTTAAAGAGAAAACTATATATATTAATAATTTAGTTTAATTTTTGTTCCTTTTTGGGTTAAACCTTTTTAAATTTAATTTTCTTAAAATTTTAAAATTTTATTGTTATAAAAGGAAAATATTTTTTTATGTAATTTAATTTTTAGAAATTTATTTGTTTTACTCTTTCTATTTTCAATTAAAATTTTTAAGTTAATTTTCTTAAAATTTTTTGTTGTTTTAAAAAGAAAAATTTATATTATTTTGATTTATTTTGGAACGAAAAAGTACACTGAAGATGGCCCAATGCCAAACCCGGGTTGTCTCCAAAAAAAACTTGAGAATTACAAAATTTTTGGGTACCAATTTTATTTTGTTCCATTTTTGGTTAACTATTTTTTCAGAAATAATTTTTCTTTTAATTTTTAAAACTTATTTGATTTAATTTTCTGTTTTTAAATTTAATTTTTTTATATTTAATTTTCTTTAAATTTGTAGCTTTTATTGTTTTAAAAAGAAAAGTATATAATTTTTGATTTATTTTTTAACGAAAAATTACACTGCACAACGCCGAAACCGGTTTGTCTCCAAACCAAATTTTAGATGGAATGACGGAAATTCGTTAAAAAAAAATCGTCTTACAACCCTGCCGGAAAAATTAACCAACAGCAACAAATATATTTTTTTATTCAATTTAATTATTAGAAAACTTATTGCCAATAGCCAGAATTACGCTAAGACCTCCTCGTTAGCAGATCTTTCAATTAGTCTTTAGAAAGAGAGAAAAGAGCTTTCAAGATAGTTGATAGCAAAGAGAATTGTCTTACGAAAGAGTTTTGTCTTTCGTTAGACTGTGGTGAGTTGAAAGAAAGTTGCCAGAATTGCCCTGCAAATATTGCATATAAGGTCCTAACGGCGATTCTGTACAAAAGGCTAGACCTAGTAAATCTACTATTGATCAGATTTTTAACCGTGGAAAAGACCCTCATCAACTTTTCATTTCTCATAGCTCGAAGAAAAACTGTCTTGAGGCAAAATTAAATTACAACTTTATAGCTCAGTAGAAATTGGTTTAATCATAGAATCATCAGTTGTAGAAGCTATCCGAAAATCTTAGACGCCAAGAAGAAACTCGAACAAAGCTAAGCAGATGGGCTGAGCCATATCGCCTTAGAGCGGTGATGTGCATTAGCTTGCCCGCGAGCATCCGGTTCCCACCACCGCCTTAGCGTAAACCTAAAAAAAAAAAAAATTATGACCTTTAAGGACAGGAATATAGTCCCCAGCTTTGAATCACCAAACCGAATGATATAATCCCACGAATATCTATCTGCTTTTTGGAAAGACGTGAGGTCTTAACTCAAAAGTTGTACCCTGGATGCATACTGGCGTGGTACGTTCGATCATATGAGATGGTACCCTGACCGCGTTGGAGTGCCGAACTTTAGATTATGGGGCGTAAAACACTTTTGAATATAAGTAGCAATCAGTTCGAAGTAGATTTAGTTTGGGACCCTAGTCACCGTATTATTTTACTTGAAATGAGACTACTGATGAATTAGCCAGTAAGGGTTCAATAGTGAGCTGACTTTGCCAGGCTAGAAACGATTTTTAGTAGACACTGACCGGCAAACAGCCAATCTAGAAGGCTGGGTATCGCCTATAATGAATGCTGCAGAAGCTGCTGGAACGAAAACGAACTGGAAATAGGCGAGCAACTGCTTTATAAATGTCTTGCCTTTATGAGGAGCTGGAATACCGTATTAGAAACAAATCAGTTAATTTTGTTTGCGAGATCTGTCGGATAAAAGCTGCCACAGCATATGCCGCTGTTATAACTCTCATTAAAAGCTATTTAGTCGCACAATTTCTTGCAGGGTATTTTCAGCTGAGCGACTACATATGCCTACACGGAAGTGTAGAAGCGTTATACTGGATTTCCACTGGGCACTAAATGACAACAATTTGAATGACAAAGTTCGGCATTAAAAATGAACGTGTCATTACGTTAGTAAAAAGGGTCTTAAGACTGTACCCTTACGGCAAATTTTAAATGGCACAAATTTGTTGTAATTCATCGGCCGGTGGAAATTCGGCATTATTAGTGGAAGGCTGTTGGAACGATAATAGCTGGTTTCACGAAAGCAATTTAATGGAAAAATTATTATTTTTTATTTGAATTTGATAATATGAAAACTGATGGAAGAGAAAAAAATATTTCTCACTTAACTTGCTAGAGAAACCGACAGTTAATATTACAGCATTTATTTAAAAATTAATATTTAAGGCCTTGCCAATAAAGGTTAGACAATCAGTTCATGGTGTTTTAGTAATTCTTTCTTTATTGCTGTATCTTAAAAAATTGTACATAGATGGGAAAAGCGCTAAATTAGGGGTTTGTCTTTTTTGCATGATAGCAATTGTTTTGCGTAAGTCGATTTAGGCACTTTTTTCCTTCACGCCACAAAAATATGAAGTGAGCAATTTACATGCAAGCTATTAAGGAACTTGAGGAAATATTAGAAAGAGGTTAGTCATTTTTTTCAAGGACAATTAATGGGTTATCAAATCTGGGTCATGGCCATCAATTAATCAGGTTTTAATAAGGATATTAGCCATGTATGCAGTTATATGTAAGAATATGTATTTTACTTGTCGTTAACGGTGCTGAAGCGGAATAGCTCAAACTTGATTTGCCCAAAGTGGAATGCGCCAAATTCGCTACTAAAGGAATTGGTTGTTGATGGAGGAGCGCTTCATTGGATACGTATTTACCCAAACCAATACTACCAGGTGCAGTATGGGCCGTATACGCACTGATACCTGATTTACCAGCTGAACTCGAGTATTGATGTGAGATCGCGCTGCCTGTTGATAACTTGGCCAAACCAACTGCACCAGCACCAGCAGAGTGGATCGATGCTATGCCCGGCGAGGCATATGCGCCTACTTTTGCTATCGCAGGGCTAGATATGATGGGCGTAATAGCCGCCGGCGCTGAGTAGGGTGTTATTTTGCTCAGTGCAACAGCAGGCTTGGAGACGTATTGATGCGAAACAGAACCACTAGAACCACCATAACCAGTGCTGGAGTGGATGGATGTTACACCTGGAAGTGGATAAGTCGTCGATTTCGTGATGCTGAGAGCAGGTGGTAGGTAAGCTTTGGGCGCGCTAATGACTGGAGTTGTTAGTGTAGCAGCTTGACTGGCAAAGAGCAGCGACTTTGATGGCGTCGAAACTTGTTGATGGGAAATGGCACCGCCGCTGGCATATTTTATAGACTCACCACTCGAAACTCCCAGACCTGAGGTGTAATGTGTAACAGCGGGTGCTGCGTAAGTGGCCACTTTAGCCAGTGGAACTGAGGAATAGCCGACCGTTTGCAAAGGTTTGGACACATATTGATGCGAAACTGCGCCACCGCTTGCATATTTCACTGACTGAGATCCTGAATGTATGGACCCTAAGCCAGAGCCTGAAGAGTATTGCGTGACAAGAGGGCCTACGGCAACTGGTGCGACAGCAGCGACTTTTGTTATGGTGGGGGTGGCATAAGCGAGCGGTTGTAGAGGTTTTGAAATCTGCTGATGTGAAACAGCGCCACTGCCATGAATAGATGAAACGGCGGAGCCGGTAGCATAGCTACCATGTTGTGATATCCCAAGGCCGGTGGAATATTGTGACACTGCGGGTGCGGCATATGTTGCCAACTTTGTAACTGCCGGGACTGCAACTGCTGGAACTTTTGCTATTGACGCAGGCGCATAACTAACTGGTTGTAAAGGTTTCGAAACATACTGGTGCGAAACTGCGCCACTACTGCCATATTTGATTGACTGTGCACCGGCGTGTATAGACGCAGAGGCTGAAGGATACTGAGCTACGACTGGCGCCACAGCAGCCACTTTGGTAACCGCTGGAGCTGCATATGCCACAGGCTGAAGCGGTTTAGAAACGTATTGATGTGAAACAGCGCCGCCGCTGGATAATCCATGACCTGAGGAATAACTTGAGCTTTGCTGCGAGACACCAAGGCCAGAAGAATACTGTGTAATTGCTGGCGCGGCATAAGTGGCTACCTTAGTGACAGCGGGAACTGCGAGCGTTGGTACCTTTGCTATAGGCGCAGCCGCGTAGCTCACCGTCTGTACAGGCTTGGACACGTATTGATGTGAAACAGCACCGCCGCTGGATAATCCATGACCTGAGGAATAACTTGAGCTTTGCTGCGAAACACCAAGGCCAGAAGAATACTGTGTAATTGCGGGCGCTGCATAAGTGGCTACCTTAGTGACAGCGGGAACTGCAAGCGTTGGTACCTTTGCTATAGGCGCAGCCGCGTAGCTCACCGTCTGTACAGGCTTGGACACGTATTGATGTGAAACAGCGCCGCCACTGGATAATCCATGACCTGAGGAATAACTTGAGCTTTGCTGGGAAACTCCAAGGCCAGAAGAATACTGTGTAATTGCGGGCGCTGCATAAGTGGCTACCTTAGTAACAGCGGGAACTGCAAGCGTTGGTACCTTTGCTATAGGCGCAGCCGCGTAGCTCACCGTCTGTACAGGCTTGGACACGTATTGATGGGAAACAGCGCCACCGTTTGCATATTTCACTGATTGAGATCCCGAATGAATAGATGACAGACCTGAGCCTGATGTGTACTGCGTGAGCACAGGCGCTGCAATTGGTGCCACGGCAGCGACCTTGGTTACAGCAGGCGCTGAATAAGTCAACGTTTGTATAGGCTTGGAAATCTGCTGATGCGACACAGCGCCCGAGGCGCCATAGGCTCCGTAATTGCTGACAATTTTAGACAAGCCGTGACCAGACGAGTATTGCGTGAGCGTAGGCGCAGCGACAGCGGGTATGGCCAAGGGCGCTATCTTAGCCACCGGCGCTGCGGCGTAACTAACCGTTTGCAAAGGTTTCGAAACATACTGATGCGAAACTGCGCCACCACCTGAGTATTTGACAGACTCCGCGCCGGTATGAATAGCTGTCAAAGCTGGTTTTAAAACGGGTGTTATAACAGCTATTTTGGATACCGTAGGTGCAGAATAAGTTATGGTCTGTATGGGTTTGGAAACGTGTTGATGTGAAATGGCGCCACCGGCGTAGCCGTGCCCTGATGTAGCGTACCCACCGAGCTGCGAAAGTCCGAGTCCAGAAGAATACTGAGTAATTGCGGGTGCAGCATAAGCTTCCAATTTACTTACGGCCGGTATGACGGCAGCAGGTATTTTAGCCACCGGCGCTGCGGCATAGCTTACCGGTTGCAAAGGCTTCGAAACGTATTGATGTGAAACTGCAGCAGCGCTTGAATACTTTATAGATTCCGATCCTGAATGGGTGGAAGATAGACCGACGCCTGAAGAGTATTGTGTAATAGTTGGCGCAACTAGTGGTGCAACAGCGGCGACCTTAGTTATCGCAGGCGCCGAGTAAGTCTGCACAAGCGGTTGTATGGGTTTCGAAATTTGTTGATGTGAAACTGCGCTACTGGAAAATCCATGGCCCGAAGAATACTGTGCCACAGCAGGCGCAGCGTAAGTGGCTACCTTAGATACAGCGGGTAGAGCAATAGCTGGCAGTTTCGCTACCGGTGCAGCTGCATAGCTGATCGGTTGTAGTGGTTTTGAAACGTACTGATGCGACACTGCGCCACCACTTGCGTACTTCAGCGTCTGACCACCGCCGACGGCGTGGAGCGACGATAGAGCGGATGGTCCGGTCGAGTAGTGTGTAAGCGCTGGTGCCACGAGTGGTGTTGCTATGGGAGCGACTTTAACCGCACTTGGACTGGCATAACTGACTGCTTGTATTGGCTTTGAAACATACTGATGAGAAACTGCGCCACTGGCACCATACTTTTCGCTACTACTGCTCGAATGCACTGCCACGGCGGCGGAGGGGTATTGCGCTATCGCTGGCGCAAGTGCTGGCCCGGCAACTGCTGGAAGGTACGTTGCTGCGGGTAGTGGCTTTGAAATTTGCTGCTGAGAATACGCACCACCTGTGGCATACTTTGAGTAATCGGCGCCAGCAAGAATATTTTTAACAGCTGGTGCTATGTAGGCGGGAGCTGGCGCGGCATATGACTCCACTTTGGCGACTGAAGGGGCGACGAGGGTTGGAATCTTTTGTATAGCCGGTGCGACATAGCTAATTTGTTGTAACGGCCTTGAAACATGCTGATGTGACACCGCGCCACTGCCGCTACTGGAAAGATAGGTGCTGCTTAGTTGCGGCGCATACGAGTAAGAGCCGAGTGGTTCAGCTGTTTTGGCCGTCAATAAATTTCCATCTAATTTAGTCAGCGATGTGGCGGCTAGCGAATTTATCAACTTAGGATTGTAGGGCGCGCCATAGGATATGGCGGCGGGCCCATATGGTGCGACATATGGGGAAGTTTTCGAGATCGTTGGACTGGATTGATAGTATGCGTAAGCAGATGATTCATATTCGGCGCTTTTCGAAATAGCAGGCGATGGCAGGCTTGGTAGGCTGGTGTACGTCTTGGCTAAGCCAGGCGATGTCAAGGGGGCTGCTACTGCCGGCAGATATTGTCTGGAAATAGCGGGCGTAAGCAAATTTTTCAATTCTGGTGTTTTGAGTGGCTGATCGGCGTATGTGATGCCACCACCTTTTGTTGCTAGATTTGTTGACAATTGCAGCAGTTTTTCACTATGTGCGGCCTGCGATAGTCCGACTCCGCTTTCATAATATGATTCTGATGATTTCTCTGTATCAACATTGAGATATCCACTGCCCAAGTGGCCTGACAATTGCAACGGTATTTTATATTTAGCTCTGGCGGGCGCTACTGACAGCTGCACTTTTGGCGGAGGGTAGGCATAGCCACCTGACGCAGCGAGCACGCAATCTGGGATGACAATTGGTTCTGAACTAGCCCACACTGTGCTACAAAAGCACAATAATGCTAATGGAATCTGAAAGTGGAAATATTGATATTGGTTAAGTTTTTTATATGGATGCTGCGAGTATACTTGTACTTATGAAATTTATTTAATTTATAAGACACTGCGCTGACATGCAGTTTTTCGATTTCCAACTGGTGTTATGCTGTATTAAAAACGCTCTAATTTGTAATACTTCTATTACTTTTCGAAGAAGTTTGTGTTTGTACCAGGGAGCGTAACAGTTACAACTTTTATTAAAAAAATCGCTCTTCAACAGTTATTTTTTGACTTTTATTTAATTACTCATTAAATAACCTTTCTGACTTTTATTTTATAAATCAAAAATAACTACTATTTTTGATTTTAATCTAAATAATCTGCAAATAACAGTTATTTTTGATTTTTAAATTATATGTCTTAGAAGACTTTTGATTGATCCTTCCTCAATAACTGTTATGTAAGACATATAACATAGAGATCAAAAATAATTATTATTTTGGATTTATAATATAAAAATCAAAATAAATTGTTATTTTTTTTTAATTTTGCATAAAAAATGCAAATAAAAATTTTTATTCAAATTTGAGTCACGATGAAAAAAGAAATCGATTTTTATGTAAGTATCACTTAGTTGCAGAACATTTCCTTCGTAGTGAATTTTTCCATGCCAGTTTTCATCAATAACTGTTATGTTCGGTCCTTGGGTACACGAAAGAAAATTTAAAACGAAGTTCGAAAATTCAAAATCACACAATAACGGGGATTTTCCAAGTTTTTTTTCTAAATTTCTCAAATTCTATTATAGTCACAAAAATGGTTCTGGTCTCGTTTTAGGGGTGATATTTGGGGCTACATAAAAAATTTCGAAAAAGAAAAAAATTACAGAATTTTGAAATGTAAAAAACTCGTAAAAGCCTAAACATAGCGGTCAAACATTTTTTTATACAATACCTCTAACTACATAAGCTTGAGAGATCCAGAGGTTTCCAAAGGGTTTTTAATTATATGAATTCTTTAACTTTGAAAAAAAATTATCTTTTCGCAATCTCTAAATTAAAAATAAATTTAAATTAAGTAAAAATTATTTAACATAACTTTATGCAGAGTATGCAAAAACATTTTTTTTCGTCTTTCAAGAATTGATATTGAAAATTTCAGGATCTTTTCATATCAGTTATTTTTTATAAATTTTTGCTTTTATGATTTATGATTATTTAAATTTTTTTATTTTTCCTTTAAAGGCCCAAATATCAGCTTTGAAACGAGAGCAGAACCTTTTTGTAACTATGATAGTTTTTGTGATATTCAAAAAATAAGCGAAATTGTTAAATTTGGAGTTTTGCATAAACGGAATAAATGTTTAAATTTTTTTCTTCGGCAGAATTTTGTTATATGATAAAAGAAAGTTCTGACAAAAATTAATCCAAATCAAGACTGATCAATTCCAACCATTCAACAATTCGGTAAAAATATCTAAAGCATTGGTAACTCTTTTTTTTGTAGTTTTTTTACGATCTTAAAAGTAATAATTACACATATGTAAATAGTAAAAAAATCAAGAAAATTTCATTTCTGCTCGGCTGGATGATGTGCTGAAAAATACTAACATCACCGTTATCCAATGGACGGGACAAAGTAAGAAATAAGTTGCCATATAAGGGAGCGCTAATTCGGTGTCGAGACGTTCAAAGTTCTCAGATACTCAAGTACATCATTTAAAATTAATGGGAATTTTAATTAGGGATAGATATCGGGACTCACGGGATCCGCGGTACAAATGTGAAAAGCGTCGGGAAGAGCGGGTCCGAATCCTCAAAAATTAGTGTCGGAATTAATGGGATCGGGATTGAGTATTTTAGTCCCATGCCCCTATAGAATACATATGTATATATAAAATCTAATTAATTGGTTTTATGAAAAACACGGAATATTAAAAAAAAAACTGTGGACTGGAACGTATACTAATTTTCAACCGAATAATAATTTACATAAACCCGAAATTCTATCAAAGTCGACGCACTTAATAAACTTGGTACGGAAAATCTATTCGTTTAAAATTATTCAAATCAGACTAAAATTACAACGCTTCCGAATAACGGTAAATTTCAGAAATACGAAAAGTCCGATATTTCAATAAATGAGGAAGTTAATTGACTCCAAGTTACATAGTTACAAAAATCTCTTAACAATAAATAAGACCGCTACATAGTTTTAGGAATTGGGCGTGGCGTCTAACTCAGCATAATAGAGAAAATGTTTGAAAGCGGGAAAAACACCCCTGCTTATTATGCAAAGGTATATAGTTTAGAGAAAATTTAAACGATAATATTTGATAACTGTGTCGGATATCTAAAGTTCGGTTTCGCCCGTACTTATACTTCTTTACTTATTGGTTTTATTTTCACTTTCAAATGTTATTTTATCTTCCTTATTTTTATTTTTATTTTTATTGACATTTTTAATTAAATTTTTATTTTAATTTAAATTAAAAATTTTATTTATTTTTATTTTTTTATTTTTTTATTATTTTTGTAAGTTAAAAGGTCCTTTCGTGTACTGTATACTTGGTTTATTTTTTTATTTTTTAAATTTAACCCAATAAATAGCATAGCACAATTTTAGTTACACTTTTCGAAAACCCACTATACAAAATGATCTCATACAATTTTCTAGATTGTGCTCATATTTTCTTCTTTCAATTATAAAAGAGTATAATTTTTTCATCACGTCATTTCATATGTATGTATACAAACTTGTATGTATTCAGCCACCTCCATTTAAGGTTATGTCCAGTATAAACAATAGAATATTTTCACTGCTCTATATTGTTCTTAGCATCACACACACACACACATACCTACACACCAAATGATTACTACAAGTATGCTTGTCGTTTCACTCACCTTCATGCTCTTGTTTCGTTTTTGTTGTTGTTGTTTTTTTGATATAATAAACTTAATAAAAAAACACTGTTAATTAATAAAATATTCTTTCGAAGTCTTCGATTTAACTACATGTTAAGGTCCTTATCACACATTGGACATTTACTGGCACTTTTTTGTTATGTAATTTTTATCCTTTACACACACACATATCCAAGGTTGTTGTTTAGTTGCTGTTTGCTGGCTGTTCGATAGAGGGCGGGCGGGCGCGCGTGCGTGCGTATCCTTTTGCAATGGGCGTTAACGATTTGAAGTGTGGTGCTCCAACGAACTGGAGCGTCGCGAAACACTACCAGCCAACAAGGCCCTATTGTCGTTTATATACGGTCAATGTGGTCCCCAAACGATCACAGACAGCATCAGCTGCAGCAACGATAGTGACAGTGGCAGCGGCAGCGGCAACGGCACGACGACGACGCTGATGGCTACGACAGTGGCAACAAAAATAGGCGATTTATCCAAAAAGGCTGTGTGTGACAAGCAGTGCGAGATTGTAATTGCATGCATGTTGTAAACGTATGTATGTATGTATGCACACAATGGCATGAATTAAAAAATTATGAATTCGCAAAAAGGCGAAGCAAGCATGCGCCAAAACGTTTATTTGCTGCACTACAACAACTACAACAATTGTTGCCTCTAACGACTATTGGTTGGTTGGTTGGTTGCGTCGGCGCAGTGCACTTTACCAGCTTTTAGTTTGTTTATTGGCGTTGTCGCTTGCTATAGTTTGACTTGTGTTCTCTATTAAGTAGTAAAAAGCTTTGTAAAAAATAATAAAATAAAACGAGTGCACGATTTTTTGGCAACCGAACATGCGTAGCTGCTGCGCCGATACGGGTGCGTTTAGTTGCGTAGTTTTTTGGCGTCGTCGTCGTAGTTGCTGTTGTTGTTGTTTGTGGTGGCATGTTGAAGTTTTGGTGTTTGAGCGCTTATGCCCCACCTTCGCGAGCACTGACAGACTGATGCAAAATACATAAATATTTGTATGCATATATACCTACTATACATATGTACATATGTGTGTATGAATATTCGCGAATATGCATAAATCGCATTCATACATATGTACGTATATATGTATATAGTAAATGCATTTACCACAATATATTCTAGGAGCGTTTTCTTGCCTAAAGCTAATTAGAAAATTGATAATAACCACATTAACGCATATACATACATATTTTGCATATGTATGAATTAGCTGCTGGGAAATCATCAACTCGCGATTAGGGACTAGACTTTAAAATTTTTATTATTTTTTTTTTTTTAAATTGTAAAAGTAATAAAATATGAATTATTTAATTTTTACATTTAAATATTTGAATAACTGATTGATTAATGACGATGCAATGTAGCAAAAAAAACTAAAACTTATGTTGACCCTGCCGAAACATTCGATCCAATGGGGTACAAACATACATTCAACTAACTGAGAAAGGGAACTGTCACCAAAGTTCACTATAGTCCCCTCCAACAAAAAGAAAGAAAGAAAGTCTATTCTAAACTAAATCCACATTGAGACGCACGAAAAATTGATTTATCGCAAGAGGCGTAGTATCAAGTGATAACTCTGGACAAAAGATTCAACTGGAACTCAAATTTCAAAGCTGTTTTCTAACAGACAAAATCGTCGGCTGAGTGGAAGATCGCGCTATTTCAGAATTTGGTTCAAAAACGCCCTGTCTCAGTTGTCGCTCCAAAAACGCCCTATCTCAACATATTTTCAATATATTTTCAGTTGAGATAGTTTCTTGAACCAAATTCTGAGATAGGGCGTTCATTAAACATTTGCTGAGATGGGGCGTTTTTGAACCAAATTCTGAAATTGGCCGTTTTCGAACCGACAGCCGAGATAGGGAGATCATCGACTCAGCCGTCGAAATGCTCTCAAAATTTTCCTCAAATGCGCTACAAGTTTTTTGCAATTTCTCACGCGCCGCTGCCTGTGGTTTAAAATTGGCATTTTGTCTTCATAATTCACTGGAGTCTTAATTTTTTCACTCAATTTGATTAATTTTTTCTTAATGGAAGCTAATAGAATTCGCAAGAGACCAGTGGTGCCCGATTTTTGAATTTTTGTTTATTTGTATTACATTTTTTTTAGCGCAAAATGCAAAAAAGTAGCAAAACTAGTCGAAAGCTATTGTAGGGTTCTTTCACAACAAACAAAAAAAGATAAAAAAAAAATTCAAACGTAAAAAAATGTTCACCAAAAAAAAAAAAAAATAAATTTGGAGTTTCTAGAAAAATGTTGGGTTTTTAGATCAACAAATTTCAGTATAATAAAGTGAAATTTGCAAGTGGCTAAGAGATGGCGTCGATTTTTAATAATTTTTTTCGCTAACATTTTGAGCATGCTAAATGGAAAATAAAAGCGTTTGCATATTAAAAATCTTAGCCACTTCATTATAATTAAATTTAATGATCTATAAAACTGCATAACCAAAATTTGTATAGAAACAAAAAAAAAATAAGTTTTGGTGAACATTTAATTTTTTTATTGTTTTTCGTTTTGGGAGAACCCCACAATTATTTCCAATTAGTGTTTACTATGTAACTTTTATTAACTGGAACATAGAATCGATTTTCTTCAAATTTGCTACTTTTCTACTTTTTCTGCAATTTGTACTAAAAAATTAAATACAAACAAATAAAAATTCAAAAATCGGGCCCACATGGTCTCTTGCAAATTTTATTAGCTTTAATTAAAACAAAAAAAAAAATTAATCAAATTGGGAGAAAAATCAAGGCTCCAGTGAATTGTAAATACAAAATACCCATTTTGAACCACTGTGCGCTGGTTTTCATGATATATATATGTGACCAATTCCATCTCAATTCCATTCCAAATCATGCAACCCAACTGCACCTATCTCTCCGAATTACTCGAAATTTTTGTACATTATTCTACTCGGAAAATAAGCGCACACGTATTTTTTTATTTGCCGATATCATCAAAAATTCACGTATTAAAATTAAAATTAAAATTAAAATTAAAATTAAAATTAAAATTAAAATTAAAATTAAAATTAAAATTAAGATTAAAATTAAAGTTAAAATTACGGTTAAGATTAAGAATAAGATTACTAAGAACAAGATTAAGATTATTACTAAGATTAAGATTAGAATTAAAATTAAGGTTAAGATTTAGATTAACATTTGGGTAAAGATTAATATTGGGAATAAGATTGTGACTAATAAGAAGAATAAGTTCCTGTTCAGTCGCGGATGAGCTCCATTTTGGAAGTTGTTATTCTGTGGCCTAGGATTAGGAATCAGTGTAAAGATTTATTCCTAACTAGAACTGTGAATTTGGTCTGTGGGTAGGCAGTGTTCGTCCGACACCATCATGTACTCGAGGCCCGTACTCATTAAAAGTATCGAACAGAACACTCGATGCTACTCAAAGTATCGCTCCTTGTGTCCAAAAGTGGTCAGACCAAAATATTTGAGTTTAATCATCGTTTACAGGAAACTATAGTTCCTGCCTTAGAAAACAGTCGTTAACAAGTAACCGAATAAACTTCATTCCAGCTTAGAAATAGCTGTAAAATGAACCCAACTTTTGAGATTGGGTTATATGAAAGTGCTAAAACAAGAGACGAAGTAACTGCAAAATATTATAAGTACTTGGTAGAGGTACTCGAGTATGTACATTCATGTTTGTATGTGCTTCTAAGTACTGCTATCGGAACATCACTAGGGGTAGGGTAGTGTCGCAATTTTGTCGGGCTGTGTAATTCAAACGCATGAAATTCATCCACTTACCTTTTAGTATGCAACATTTTTTATTGGTATTTTACAATAATTAATCTGTGGTCTTAATCCCCTTATCCAGCTGATAATTAAATTAAAAAAAATTCAAATAAAAATGCATACATGTACCCCATACAATCCATATTTACAAACTAACCACAAAATTCGATTATGTACATGAGTACATACATACATATCAACTGGCTTACCATTCTTTGGTAATCGAAAAATTGCAGTGCTTGCTCATAGAGATTTAAGTGCAAATGACTGCGTAACTTCACTCATATACAACATACTACGAGTGCACATGTATGTATGTATGTAGGTACTTTGCCGGTGTTATCTTTGTGGGATAGCAAAATTTATGTATGCAAGTTTAAATAACGTAACAAACATATGTATGTATGAACTTATGATCTCATAGTTTCACTTTATTGGCATTCGATGGCCACATTTTCACGTTTAAAATTGTGTGCGTGTGTGCAAATGTGCGTGTGTGTGTGCGATTTTATGTTACGAATGTTACTCCTATAAATTTCAATAAAAGAAACATTAAACCGAAGTCCGAAATTTCGTCATGCAAATCGATATGAATATATAATTTGGCGTTGGTCTGCTTTTCTATGTAACTTTGGACGTAGGAATGCCTACATATATGTACGAGTAGCTATGTATGTATGATTGCATGTTGCTGTTGCATATGCCGAGAGTGTTATAGATAGTAGTGCTTGTTGTTGTTAAGTACGACAGGCTGTTTTCATAGTCTTACATAATTAAAGAGATGCAGTTTTTCTCCTATGGCGCATTGCAGTTCGCATCAAAGTTGCAGGAGGCTAAAGGCGCAGTCGCCACGCTGAAGCTGGGGCGCGCATGCGTGCGTGCGTGCGTGCGTGTGTCAAAACTACGAGTGTGTATGTACATAAAACCACGCCAAGGCATGTTAGACTGCGACTGCGGCTGCGTGCTAGAGTCAGCACTAAGCCAAATGGCATGTAAATCGAATTGAGTCGAAATGAACTGAACTGAACTGAACTGAACTAAACTTGTTCAAAAGTAGGTTACGCTTATTTTAGTTTATTTCGATTGGAATACAGAAATTAAAATTCAATCAAATTGCAAAACAACGCGTTGCAGGACACTGAACTGCTCTGTTAAGCCACTGTACGCAAGTACGCACAAATGTTTGACAGGGAAAAATGTACGACAAATCTTGTGTATCTGCATGG